ACAAGCATTTGAATGGAGGAGAAAATAACGAGTGGAGAAACTCATGTAGTAAGAAATAGTTTTGCAGGACTTCGAGGTTGATATGTACTTGGCTTTAGGATGGTACGATCGGCGTCTGTCGCATAATTGTACGCATCCCATACTCATCACACACAAATTTATTGCGGATCGTTTGTGGCAGCCGGACCTCTATTTTGTAAATTCCAAATTTGCCTACCTCCAAGAGGTCACCACGCCTAATTTCATGCTCATCGTCTATCCAGACGGTTTGATCTTCAAATCAATGAGGTAGGCCTCTTATTCATGCTATGACTGCAATAAGTATTTTAGAACTTTTTTCTATGGGGAAAATATGCGTCGCAAAATGCGGAAAAATTTCCATTGTTTTTTTTCCCCAGAAACAATGCTCTGACTATCGGAAATTAATTTTCTGTTTTTTGAGCCCCAACTAGTGGCAGCAAATTGCGCCCGTAACTGTTTTTAGTAAATGAGCCTGTTGTTGCGGCGTTCATTCTTTGACTTGCGAGCTGAACTTTACTAGAAGGTTTGTAATAATCGCACTTGTCGTTTAACTGCATTTTGACAGCATTCTGTTAAAACACTGGAAAGAATTCGTAAAATTAGAGCTGATTTTTGCCTACAAAACTAGCAGATCTGAATCTTTCTTTTGGTGTTTACGCAGTTTTAGAGCAAACACTTTTGCTGTAATAGAAACCGTTTTCCTAAACATGCAAAGTCTCTGATCATGGAGACAATTGACATTTTGCTCAAATTTTGGAGCGAAGAAAATGTCTCTAAGGACTGCCATATGGATTTGCAGGCTGGATGTTACCCTGTCGTGTATGATGGATTTACAGCGATTTCCGATGGATAAGCAGGAATGTCCTCTCCTTATTCAAAGTTGTAAGTAGGCTTCATCATTACTTATCTCTCGAGACCGTTTAAAGGCTATCAAGAAGCCGTTTTCTCGGGCATTCAAGCAGCTTTTCGGCTATCTACAATTTTCATCTTTCCTTGAAATCGGAAATTCTGCTTTTCTCATATCACAGCTGGAAGAATAAGGCAGCTTACCAAAAAAAAGCAAGCTATTCTGCAAATATAATTTAAAATGGGGGTGTTTGATTGCGAATATCTGAACAAAACTTCCGGAATCACGAAAGTCATTCAAATTTTTAATATTTTCCAATATTTCGTGGGCAAGACGAATATCGAGCAATCTAATATTCCAAAAAAATAGATCATGAAACGGGTATGGGAGCAGCCATTGGATATTTCGGATTTTTGGCAAAAATACTTTGGATTCTCGTTATCGCTATGCCACCCACACCATTGACGCGTTGGTGACTCAGCGCAGTCAACCGATGACAAACGAACGGCTCGATTCAGTTATTGCTGCATAAATCATTTTAGATGCCTATGTGGAAAATCTTGTAAATTTGACGTGGCACGAAGACCCACCTTATTTTCCATTCGGCAGTAATAGTGAAATAAAGCTCAACGACATGGTCATCACGCAAACGACGTTCGAAAAGTGCATTACTCCTTACCCGATGTTTCGCGGTTCCGGTACTTTTTATGAATTTTTATACGAAAAAATAATAGCACGCCAATGCATGTTTTTTCAATCTCTGCTTTCAGGCTTTTTTTTTT